ACTAGCTCTCTTCCAGCCGTCAAGGCTCACAAACGGCGCCCTCGCCACAGCAAAACAGCAGGGCCCTGAAGGACGGACCGAGCCTCCGGGCAACGGCTCCCAAACTAGCTCTCTTCCAGCCGTCAAGGCTCACAAACGGCGCCTCCGCCACAGCAAAACAGCAGGGCCCTGAAGGACGGACCGAGCCTCCGGGCAACGGCTCCCACTGCCTAACGTTGCTTTCTGAACCTACAAGAAAACTAGCTCTCTTCCAGCCGTCAAGGCTCACAAACGGCGCCCTCGCCACAGCAAAACAGCAGGGCCCTGAAGGACGGACCGAGCCTCCGGGCAACGGCTCCCAAACTAGCTCTCTTCCAGCCGTCAAGGCTCACAAACGGCGCCTCCGCCACGCCCAAACAGCAGGGCCCTGAAGGACGGACCGAGCCTCCGGGCAACCGCTCCCACTGCCTAACGTTGCTTTCTGAACCTACAAGAAAACTAGCTCTCTTCCAGCCGTCAAGGCTCACAAACGGCGCCCTCGCCACAGCAAAACAGCAGGGCCCTGAAGGACGGACCGAGCCTCCGGGCAACGGCTCCCAAACTAGCTCTCTTCCAGCCGTCAAGGCTCACAAACGGCGCCTCCGCCACGCCCAAACAGCAGGGCCCTGAAGGACGGACCGAGCCTCCGGGCAACCGCTCCCACTGCCTAACGTTGCTTTCTGAACCTACAAGAAAACAAGCTCTCTTCCAGCCGTCAAACCTTCAAAAACGCGCCCTTTCCGGCCGTCACAAACATTCAAAAACGGCCGTGAGTGCCTAACGTTGCTTTCTGAACTGCCTAGAAACTAGCTTCAAACCTTGCTGTTTCCTGCCGTCAGCTCGAGTCCAAGGACCCTGTCGCGGGCCTCAAACACCATGGCAGTGAAGGACGGATCGGGCCTGCGGGCCACGGCCGTGAGTGCCTAACGTTGCTTTCTGAACCTACAAGAAAACCTTGCTGTCTGACCCAAAACGGCGCCTGCGCCACAGCCAAACAGCAGGGCCCTGAGGGACGGACCAGGTCTGCCGGTTCAAACCTTGCTGTTTCCTGGCGTCAGCTCGGGTCCAAGGACCCTGTCGCAGGCCTCAAACACCATGGCAGTGAAGGACGGATCGGGCCCGCGGCCGGCAGCCCATACTGCCAAACGTTGCTTTCTGCAGTGCCTAGAAACTAGCTTCAAACTTTGCTTTTCCCTGCGTTCCTGCACTGCCAACTGCCAACTTGCCTGCATTGTCTGACAGCTGGCTTTCGTGCGGCACAGCTCCGGTCAAGTCGAAACTAGCTTCAAACCTTGCTGTGTCTTGCCGTCAGCTCGAGTCCAAGGGACCTCCTCGCAGGGCTAAAACACCATGGCAGTGAAGGACGGATTGGGCCCGCGGCCCGTAGCCCAGAGTGCCAAACATTACTTTCTGTCGCTCGTTTACTCTTGCTTCTGCATTCTTGCTTCTAACTTCTTGTTTCGTGCTTCTTTCGCTTGCTACGTTCGCTGAGACTGCCCCTCCTTTCTCGCTTCCTTTTTTGAGCTTCTTACTCTGCACCTGGCTTCCCTTTCTGTCCCCCCCTCGCTTGCCCCGCTACGTTCGCTGAGACTGCCCCTCCTTTCTCGCTTCCTTTTTTGGGCTTCTTACTCTGCACCTGGCTTCCCTTTCTGTCCCCCCCTCGCTTGCCCCTCACTTGCACTGCACAACACTTGTTGCTTGTAATCTCTTCTCTGACGCGCTCCCCCTGCTGTCGGCAGGGGTCGGCGGATATGATTGAAGCAGCCTAGAATGATTTGTTGTTGAACTGTTTTTTTAAATTGAACTTACGTAAAGTTCTCCGGTGACTCAGGGGGTCTTCGCAAAGTGGCTAGTCCCAGATCCTGCTGCGGTGAAGCCATGTGAGTCCCCAAAACCCCTGGTGGCTGATGATTAAATGAAGTAAATGGATGTAAATGGGTTATTTATGGTTATTTACAGACTGACGATTCTTATATTATACTAGTATTAGCAATATCATCGTCCTGGTGATGGTCGCCCTCATCGTCATTTGTTGGTTATGCATCCATTGTTTGATATATCCGTAAAAAATGATCCCATTTTATAGTGGAACCATAGAATCTACATCAATTTATGGATACAATGGGATCATTTATGATCGAGGGAAGTTTGGAAGTCAAGCTTCCGACAATATGGACAGATGAAAAGCAGAGATGGGAAGAGTCAGAGAAGAGAAGAGAAGAAGAAAGAAGATCAAAGAAGAGAAAATCAGAAGAAAGAAGATCCAGGTGCGCGAAAAGGTAGGAAAGTCGCCGGTGTTTTTCCAATGATTTGTGGCTCAGTAGGGTCGGAAAGTAGGCTCGCTAAAGCGGCGGGTGCGGAGCCAGCTGGCCAGATGAGAAATGATAAGTTGCACGCCGTTGTGGCGCGAAGCACATTTCCAAGTCGAAATGCACAAAACACATCATTCTCGAACCACTTTTGGAAGTTCACATGTCGAAAAAGTGCATGCTGGTGTGGCGCGAAGCACGTTTCCAAGTCAAAACGTACAAAGCACACCCGGTTCGGAGCACTTTTGGAAGTTGACATGTGGAAAAAGTGCAAGTCAAAATGCACAAAGCACACCAGGTTCGGAGCACTTTTGGAAGTTGACATGTGGAAAAAGTGCACGCCGTTGTGGCGCGAAGCACATTTCCAAGTCGAAATGTACAAAGCACACCAGGTTCGGAGCACTTTTGGAAGTTGACATGTGGAAAAAGTGCACGCCGTTGTGGTGCGAAGCACATTTCCAAGTCAAAATGTACAAAGCACACCTCCGGACCACTTTTGGAAGTTGACATGTGGAAAAAAGTGCACGCCGTTGTGGCGCGAAGAACATGTCCAAGTCAAAATGTACAAAGCACACCAGCTCCGGACCACTTTTGGAAGTTGACATGTGGAAAAAGTGCACGCCGTTGTGGTGCGAGCACATTTCCAAGTCAAAATGTACAAAGCACACCTCCGGACCACTTTTGGAAGTTGAGATGTCAAAAAGGTGCACGCCGTTGTGGCGCGAAGCACATGTCGAAGTCAAAAGTGGAAAGGACTGAGGGGTATGGAGCACTTTTGGACGTGGATTCTGCACCTTGCCAAACGTGAGCCAAACGTCAGGGTGTTGTAGTATTTTCAGCTACAGGCACCACTACGCTACACTACACTCCACTTCACTTCACTTCACTACACTACACTACACTACACTCAATTACACTACACTACACTACACTCAATACACTACATTACAACTACAACTACAACAACTACAACTCCAGCTACGCTACACTAATTACATTGCACTACGCTAATTACATTACACTACGCTACACTACACTACACTACACCCGACAAGCTACAACTACAATTACAACTACAGCTACAGCTACACTACACTACGCTCCACTTCACTTCACTACACTACACTACAGTCATTTACACTACAGTCATTTACACTACATCTACAACTACCTCTACAACTACAAGTACATTACACTACACTACACTTATTAACATTGCACTACACTAATTACATTACACTACACTACACTAGCTACAACTACAGCTGGAACTATCATTACAACTACAACTACAGCTACAGCTACACCACGCTACGATACACTAATTACATTACACTACGCTACGCTCCACTCCACTACACCACACTACACCACACTCAATTACATGCAATTACGCTACACTACACGGCACTACACTACACTACACTACACTACATTACACTGCACTACACTACGCTACACTACAGTACATTACATTACATTACACTACACTACACTACACTACACTAACCACTAACCACAACCACAACCACAACCACAACCACAACCATGACCACGACTACAACTACACTGCACTGCACTGCACTGCACTACACTCCGCTCCACTCCACCCCACTCCACTCCAATCCACTCCACTCCACTCCACTCCACTCCACTCCACTCCACTACACTACACTACACTACACTACACTACGCCACACCACGCCACACCACGCCACACTACACTACACTTGCAGCTACAACTACAACTACAACTACGCAACTTTACACAACACGGCAATAGGCTAAACTACCCCAAATTACATTCCACTACACTCATTACACCACCGCAAATGCAACTGCAACTGCGCTACACTAATGACACTACACCACAACTACAACTCCACTACGCTACAACTACAACTACAACTGCACTACACCACACTACATCCAGAAGTTGTGGGTGAGGTGACCGACCAGGTGACCACTGCAACCATTGCAGCCACTCAAAAAAACACAGCTCCAACCACCTTTCGGTCCATGAGTGGATTCGCTCTGCCGTCCGGGATTCACAACAACCAGCCTCTCCTATAGGTTTTCTATTTTTGAAACTTGCGCCACCGCCTTGCGCGGTACTACTGGTATATCCTTAAAAATGATCCCATTGTATCCCCAATGGCAGCCCGAGTCAGGGCCCATTTGCGCCCGCTTCCCTGGTGTTTTGGGCCGGGAACCCGGCCCGAAAGTTTTTCATGGCGCGGAAAAGCTGTGGGACCCATGGTATAATTACAATCAATTGTAGGTTATGAATGGTTATTATATGTTATGATATGTTATTATATGTTTTTATATGTATGTTTTTTAGTCAAATAGAGGGCAACTATTCGTTTTATTTCTTTGTCATTCTTGGTCTACTTAGTTTCCCGACTGTGTGTTGGGAGCAGCAATGTTGATCTTTCTCCAAACAAAAACTGGCAGTTTTGCGGTACACTTAAGTAATTTTAAAGACAGACCCAACTTACCTTTCACAGGAAATGTGTTTTTGTATTTCATATTTTGAACCCCTTTTTTGCCTGCAATTCAGTCAAAGAGGCGGTTTCTGCTGTTTGGGCTCAAGGAGTTGTGCCTGAGGTGTGCCCCATCACACGGTGTGCTTCGACACTTTCCGCTTGAAACTCTCTCCACTTTCCAGCCATGCGTGAGGCGATCTGCATCCATATCGGTCAGGACTCCTGCTGAGTTGGGCATTGCAAGTCGTTGAGTGCCATTCACACATGCTCCATAGGACTCACAGCTGATCCAGTTCACCCCTTCGATATGAAAGCGAAGTCCATTCTTTGTGAGTTGTAACGAATATGATTTTGGAAGCTGACTCCATGAAGAATTGATTTCTGCTATCAAAAGAAGGTCATGACAACATGCTGTTTGTATATGTTTGTATCATACTTAGTAGTATGAAGAAGAGTTGGACAAGTCGAGGTGGGTGGTTTGGACGTAGCCCCACTTGATGCATCATTGTGACCCTGAGGGCGGAGTGCAAATTGGGAATGCGAAACTTGTCTAATTTCGGGGAATGGGGAAAGGGTTTGGACGCTTTCGGGCTTTGAACAATGTCAAAAAATGGGATAGTGTTTTTCTCTTTCCGCCATCAATCCAGCAATATTCAGTTGCGCTTGAGCTCCATATGCCATAGATGGTGTACTTGTACTCGTGCAGATGGTGCACTTGTATCACTTGTACGATGAATCAAAGTCTGAAGAAAAAAATGCACGAGGCAACCTTGAGGGACTTGAGGAAAAAATCCACCCCTGGGTTGTAATTCAACGCGCTGCCAGATTTGAGTCACTGAGGTGCTGGGAGCTCTTCTGCTTGGAGCACGGCATTCAGCCGGATGGCCAGATGCCTTCGGACAAGACCATAGGCACCACGTTGGGACATCTCTGGTTGGGTGGTCCATGGTGGCCCAATGGCCCCTTAGCGCCTTCCTCAGGGCTCTTTTTGTAGGTTGCCCACAACCCACCAATGCACTCATTCATTGAAGAGAACTGTATTGTGGTGCGTGCTGCTGTCGTGCGCATGTGACCTTTTATTTTCGCATACTGGATCTGACATTCACCAGCCTACGACTAGCAATTCGAGTCACCATGAGTCACCAATAAATTCATGACTTAACCCCGCAAGGTAATGATTAGTCCCCGTGCAATCTTTTGTTAGCATCCCGTTGTTTTTTCTTTACTTGAATTGTCGCTGCAGCCTTGTGCACGTGCGATTTTCCGAACGTTTTACCATCGTCTGGGATAATCAAAATCTGTGCCGGAGTCATTCTTGTAGTTCCTCACGTGTTTGTGCCCTGTCCGCCTCAAATCTTGTCGGCCACTTCTTTCATCTTCTTTCCACATTAGTTATTCTTTTCATCCCCCTTGAAAATTCCCCTATAGAATGGGAGGCCTTGAGCCTCTTATAGAGTTGATTTTATAGACTTTGTTTTGCCGTCGGGTACATCCATTTTATACGCCTTTTTATATACCCCCCAAGTCACCCTTATATGAGAAGAAGATCCTATACCAGGGTCAGGCACATCCATTTTGTAGAAAATTTGGAAAACCATTTTGTAGATGAGCAATGGGAGTTGATAAATGAACATGAAAATGTCAAATAATTGGTTGCAGGCCGCTTTTCATGGACTCAACAGAGACAGCTCCACCAAAGCCCCAGAGCACCAGATCATTGGGTTGCCATGTTGTGGTTTCACATGGCTTGCTTCCTGCTCCTGGTGCTGCAAGCACATGGCCTCAGCGTGGCCGACGACACAGCCACATCAACGTTAGAGGAGTGGTACCTTGTTTTCGAACACGACTGATTGGGAGAGTTGATTGAGAACAGGACAGCACCAAAAAAGACGCACCAAAAACAGTTTTCACGTTGGAAAAAAACATCTAAGAAAACACCAAAGTTTGTTTTTTGATCCTCATTTCTAATCAATTTGGAGCTACAAAATTGTACTGCCTTTCCATTGGCAGCTACAAAATGTTGGGAGACAGAGATAGTTACACCACGTAGCCTTTGAATAGGGACCACCCGTTTTGTAGATTGGCGTTGGCTGGCTGGCCATAGAGTGCAATGGGTCAACCAAGTTTCTTTTATTGAGGAAGCAAACCATGTGAAACCGCAACATGGCAACCCAATGATCTGGTGCTCTGGGCCTTTGGTAGAGCTGTCTCGGTCCATAAAGGGGCCTGCAACCAATTATTTCAAAACTTCACGCACATTTATCAACTCCCATGGCCCATCTACAAAATGGTTTTCCAATTTTCCCACAAAATGTATGTGCCTCACACTGATACATGCTCCTTCAACATTGGTGGTTGAGCAAAGTCATTAAGAATCATCATCTCTGATGTGGTTGGGAAACCACCAACTTATGGTGGCATTGAGAGGAAAACATATTGTAGAAGTTAGATTCGCGTTGAAATTAACCCCAAGGGGGTGTGCCTTCCTAAGTGTAAAGTGGCCATCCTATCCTTCTACAAAATGGTAGGGTCCATAGGGTTACGGCCCGCAAAATGGTGATTCCTGGGTATCCCACCTGCCCATCAACATGAAGTATCATGAAATCCACATGGTCGGCAGAGACGCTCTACGAGTAGGCTCCCCGTGGTCAAGCCTATTGCACAGACAGCCACCACAATCCCCATGTAGCTTGGCACCCGAGATTGCAACGTAAATGTCTTGAACCAGCTGCAAAATGGAAGTGCGCCATCACATCCACAAACATTTCCACGACTCTGACACTACCATTTTGTAGTTGCTTCAAGAAATTTACGTTGCAATCTCGGGTGCCAAGCTACATGGGTCTGTTGAAGTGGATTGTGATGGCTGCCTTTGCGATAGGCTTGGCAACGAGAAGCCTAATTGTAAAGTGTCTCTGCCGACCATGTGGATAATGCTGTTTCTCATTGTCCATCGATTTCACATCACAATCATTAAAGCCGCATGTGAAATGAACCTGACCAGCTCAGGGTGGAAATGCGTTAAGATGCCCCTTTTGATCCCTGTTGCATTTTTGGCATGGTTGGTGTCATCCCTGACATTGCTATTGCACCATCTGCATCCATCTGCACCAGCTGTGAAGGTGGTGGAGACGATGCCTTCAACACGTTACTCGGCAGCTGCGCCTCAGGCCCTGCGGTTGTTGCCAAGGCAGTTGGATTATCGCTAAATAGTGGGATTATATGACAAGTATAGTGAAACTATATGATATTAATATATAATACCGGTGTGAGTTTCCTCTAGGATTTCAGGGGGGTCAACCCCCCTAAGAAGGACTGATTTTCTGGCGCGAAAATTCTTTGATTTTGATGAAAGGCTGCTTTTATCAACCCCCTCATTTTCTACAGAACAACTTTTGGAGACCTCTGAGTCGGGAGACCCTGATTTTCTGGGTAGCTTAAGTGCCCAAAATCCAGGAGCATAATTTTAGCATCTCTGGGAGGACGTTCCTAGATTTAACGTAATATTATATATATATATGATATAAAAATACTATATAACGTAATATTTATAATTATACAATTATAGTGGGATTACAGTGGGATTGTATAACAGCGACAATCTTGGCCAGCAAAGTGCCTGCAATAGACAACTTGGTCAACGGCAGTGCCCCGCAGCGCTCAGGTTCTTTTCGGAGACTGGCGCAGGAAAACACGTCCCGCGATGCGTCATGGTCGACTTGGACCTTTGGCCTTTGTGCTATGTGTCAGTTTTCGGTGCAAACTTTTTGGGTTTCAGGCATGAAATCGTATCGATAGTATCCGCTCATTCATCAACAGCATCACAACCGTTGTCATTGTGAATCCCCACCTGCCAGGTCAGTTCTCTAGATTTTAGCAAGGCATCCCGGACACATACACAAAGACACAGACACATGGACATACAATGACACGCCAGCTTCTCTGGGGTGCGCCGGGCCGAACCCTATGGCGAGCTTGCCAGATAGATAAAACGCCGGATGAAATAACAAATAAAATATCAATATCCGGCCCAGGGACCCCAAACAGTGTTGCAAGGAACATGACGAGAGATAAAAGGTTAGCTTCTGCAAGTTCTCTTTGTGAAGATCGTGTGCAAGATCTCCTTGACAGGTTCTCTGTAGAAGCTGCTGCGCAAGATCCCTTTGTATGGCTATCTGTTTAAGGTGTATGTGTCTATAAGACATCTCCAAGCAAGATCTCTGTAAGATATCCCTGACTAAGATCTCCGTTCAAGCTATCTTTGCAAGCTCTCTGCGAGACCTCCTGGCCTTGGCAAGATTTCTGTACAAGATCGCTGAAAGAGGCCTCTTGGCAAGATCTCCGGAAAAAGATATCTGTACAAGCTCTCTGGAAGAGCTCTCTTGGCAAAATCTGCAGCAGATCTCTATGCAAGGTCCTCGTGCAAGATCTCTATAAAAGGTCCCCTGGCAAGATCTCTGCGGAATCTCTGCCCAAGATCTCTATAAGAGGCCTCCTGGCAAGATCTGCGCAAGCTCTCTATGACAGACCTCGTTGTCAAGATCTCTTTGCAAGATCTCTTTGATTTTCAAAACGGCACTGTGCCACAACGAGAGCGATCTGACATGCACAAAGTGCCGAAACGGTTGCGCGAGCGATCTCAACATTTGCACTGCGCCACAGCGAGAGCGATCTGACATGCACAAAGTGATGAGAGGGTGGCGCGAGAGATCTCAAAATGAGGACCGCGCCACAACAAGAGCGATCTGTCACCAAGTACCGCGCCTACCACGAAAAAAGACTTCCAAAACCACCTCTCATTTTGACCCACGGCTGCCAAAGCAAGGCGCAGAAAGCGCCATGCCCGCCACACGGATGAAAAAGTGTCCGATGTCCTGCACCTGTCACACAAAAGGACGTTTTAGACTTCAAAATGTCCCACATGTCCCACGCCTGCCACGAAAAACATTGTGTGGGGAACATAGCATGTCTGAGAGAATGTCAGTCAGAATAGTCAGAATATATGTCAGACAGAGTGCCAAAACAAATGATAGGTAAATGTCAGAACACATGTCAGAAAGAATGTCAGATACAATAGAATGCCAGATTGTCAGATACATTGGCAAATAGACTGCAAGAAAGAATGTCAGGTGAAGGCAGGAAAATATATCAGATAGAATGTCAGAATGCATGCTTGCTACAATGCAAGATAACAACGTCAATCAGAATAAATGCCAGATATACTAGGTACGGATGAGATAGGAGTTGTCGGAGGGTCCAGTTTTTTTGATTTCCCATCTCATGAGTAAAGTATTGTTTTTGCCCTTTGAAGGTGCCAAACTCCTATCTCATGTGGTTCTAGTAGTCATTTGAAGGATACCTGCATCAAGTTTTTACATTCCCACGGTTTATGGTTTTTAATGCTACAGGCTACAGTTTGGACACATGAGATAGGACTTAGGGCTGATTTGGGGTATGTTCACATAACCCATGTGTTGGGACTGTAGCATCTATATCCCATGAAGAATTCCCATCTCATGGGTTTCATCCTGAGCCATTTGGCAATATGGTATAAATTGCTACTGAACGTAACTTTTTTCATTTTCTCGTTGTTTCTCTACTGTTGTTAGCTTTAATAACGGGCAGCGGCACGGCTCGCGGAGAACGGACGGCCACGTGTCTCCCTGTTTTTATCTCTAACGGGAAGCGACCGGCTCGCGGAGAACGGACGGCCGCGTGTCTCCCTGTTGTTGCCTGTAACCGGTCTCGCTGTGCACCTCCGGATTTTCCCACATGGCCTCCGGTAGCTTCCCGTTAAAAATAAGAATGGGGAGTGGGAGCCAGGATGCCCTTCCCCGTGTAAAAGCAGATGAGATAGGACTTGTGGGGATTTGACGGTTTGACCAGAGAAATCTAATGGCACATGGGTGCGGCAAAGGAAAAATAGCGACCTCCAAAAGCAGATGAGATAGGACTTAAGGAGATTTGACGATTTGACCTGGGAAATCTAATGGCACATGGGCGCGGCAAGGGAAAAATAGCGACCACAAAAAGCAGATGAGATAGGACTTGTGGAGATTTGACGATTTGACCTGTGAAATCTAATGGCACATGGGCGCGGCAAGGGAAAAATAGCGACCGCAAAAAGCAGATGAGATAGGACTTGTGGGGATTTGACGTTTCGACCTTGGAAATCTAATGCCACATGGGTGCGGCAAGGGAAAAATAGCGACCACTAAAAGCAGATGAGATAGGACTTGTGGGGATTTGGCCTGGGAAATCTAATGGCACGTGGGTGCGGCAAGGGAAAAATAGCGACCACTAAATTTTAAAAGAAAATGAAAAAGGACTTGTGGGGATTAGATCTCTAAAGTAGTCAGGCAATGTAACCGGTCTCGCCGTGCACCTCCGGAGAAACAGAGGGAGCGGGCGGCAAGGCACCAAGACCATCTGTCAAGGATGCCCCGCGTTTCGCTGGAAGATCTCCCCAAATCCTGGCAGTCAGAGCAGGGGCCAGACTCTGAAGCCTGGGTTCTTGAAAGAGAGAGATGAGAAGAAGTCTCGCCGTAGACGGGAGAAGTGGCTGGCAAGAAAAAATAGAGTGGCGATCCGCCGGAAGTCGGAACTTCCCTTTCCCACAAGCCTCCGGGAGCTCTCGTCTCAGATAATAAAGGCGCGCCAAATACCCTTCCCCGTGTAAAAGCAAATGAGATAGGACTTGTGGGGATTTGGCCTGGGAAATCTAATGGCACATGGGTGCGGCCACGGAAAAAAAATAGCGACCACTAAAAGTAGATGAAATAGGGCTTGTGGAGATTTGACGATTTGACTTGGGAAATCTAATGGCTCATGGGTGCGGCAAGGGAAAAATAGCGACCACTAAAAGCGGATGAGATGGGATTTGTGGAGATTGGACGATTTGACTTGGGAAATCTGATGGCACATGGGAAGGGAAAAATAGCGACCACTAAAAGCAGATGAGATAGGACTTGTGGAGATTTGACGATTTGACTTGGGAAATCTAATGGCTCATGGGTGCGGGAAGGGAAAAAATGGTGACCACTAAAAGCGGATGAGATAGGATTTCTGGAGATTTGACGATTTGAGCTGGGAAATCTATGGCGCCCGTTGTGTCTCATCGGGGAGGCGCTTGGAACTGCTCGCCCCCACAGCTTCACTGCTCAGCACGGTCTGGACAATCAGCAGTTGCAAACGCTTCCCCGGGGAGACACAACGGAGAGACACAACGGGAGACACAGCAGGAAAATGATGTAAAATCAGAAAACGGTGAATGAATAGCGACCACTAAAATCAGATGAGATAGGACTTGTGACTTGTGGGGCTTTTGACGATTTAAAGATCTGGGAAATCTAATGGCACATGGGTGCGGCAAGGGAAAAATAGCGACCACTGAAAGCAGATGAGAAAGGACTTGTGGAGATTTGACGATTTGACTTGGGAAATCCAATGGCACATGGGAAGGGAAAAATAGCGACCACTAAAACCAGATGAGATAGGATTTCTAGAGATTTGACGATTTGAGCTGGGAAATGCAATGGCACCCGTTGTGTCTCACCGGGGAGGCGCTTGGAACTGCTCGCCCCCACAGCTTCACTGCTCAGAACGGTCTGGACGGTGAGCAGTTGCAATTGCCGCCCCGGGGAGACACAACGGAGAGACACAACGGGAAGACACAACAGGAAAATGATGCAAAATGAGAAAAAGCTGAATAGCGACCACAGCAAAGCAGATGAGATAGGACTTGTGGGGGTTTGACGATTTGACTTGGGAAATCTAATGGCACACGGGTGCGGCAAGGGACAAATAACGACGACTAAAAGCAGATGAGATAGGATTTCCTGGGGATTTGACGCTTTGATCTGGGAAATGCAATGGCACCCGTTGTGTCTCTTCGTTGTGTCTCTCCGGGGAGGCGCTTGGAACTGCCCGCCCCCACAGCTTCACTGCTCAGAACGGTGTGGACGGTGAGCAGTTGCAATTGCCGCCCCGGGGAGACACAACGGAGAGACACAACGGGAAGACACAACGGGAAGACACAACAGGAAAATGATGCAAAATGAGAAAAAGCTGAATAGCGACCACTAAAAGCAGATGAGATAGGACTTGTGGGGGTTTGACGATTTGACTTGGGAAATCTAATGGCACATGGGAAGGGAAAAATAGCGACCATTAAAAGCAGATGAGATAGGATTTCTGGAGATTTGACGATTTGAGCTGAGAAATCTATCCGTGTGAATCAAATGCTGGGTCTATTTGCTGACATTTGCGGTAAACCTTTTTTTTTGACGTCCGTATGCATTATTTGACGTCCGTAGTCAAAATTTGGCAACATTTGCGGGAACCATAATTTTACCGTAAAATGTGGTGAGCATGAGCGAAAAGTAACAGGGGCTGATATAAGATGAGGGGTCAACCCTGAAGACATCACGGTTCATCACGTTTTGTCACGGTATTTTCGACAAATGTCATAATTTTAAGTGGCAAAAAGATGATTCGTCACGATTTGTCACGATTTTGAACTACATATGGCCATGATCAACTCGCATGCACATCTTCGAAACAAAGGATGTCTGCGTTTTTTCATCAATTTCCGACAAAATCCGGTGGATTTCCGACAGATTCCGACAAATGTCACCAAAATCAAGCGTTAACGTAGATGTAGCCGTATTTTGACTACATTGCTACTTTTGATCTATATGCCGACATCGATTCTCAGGGTATGGCACCCGTTGTGTCTCACCAGGGAGGCGCTTGGAACTGCTCGCCCCCACAGCTTCACTGCTCAGAACGGTCTGGACGGTGAGCAGTTGCAAACGCGTCCCCGGGGAGACACAACGGACAGACACAACGGGAAGACACAACAGGAAAATGATGTAAAATGAGAAAAGCTGAGTAGCGACCACTACAAAGCAGATGAGATAGGACTTGTGGGGGTTTAACGATTTGTCTTGGGAAATCTAATGGCACATGGGTGCGGCAAGGGAAAAATAGCGACCACCAAAAGCAGATGAGATAGGATTTCTGGAGATTTGACGATTTGACCTGGGAAATGCAATGGCACCCATTGTGTCTCTCCATTGTGCCTCTCCGGGGAGGCGCCTGGAACCGCTCGCCCCCACAGCTTCACTGCTCAGAACGGTGTGGACGGTGAGCAGTTGCAATTGCCGCCCCGGGGAGACACAACGGACAGACACAACGGGAGACACAACAGGAAAATGATGTAAAATGAGAAAAAGCTGAATAGCGACCACTAAAAGCAGATGAGATAGGACTTGTGGAGATTTGACGATTTGACTTGGGAAATCCAATGGCACATGGGAAGGGAAAAATAGCGACCATTAAAAGCAGATGAGATAGGTGTGGAGATTTGACGATTTGAGCTGGGAAATCAATGGCACCCGTTATGTCTCACCGGGGAGGTGCTTGGAACTGCTCGCCTCCACAGCTTCACTGCTCAGAACGGTCTGGACGGTGAGCAGTTGCAATTGCCGCCCCGGGGAGACACAACGGAGAGACACAACGGGAGACACAACAGGAAAATGATGCAAAATGAGAAAAAGCTGAATAGCGACCACTACAAAGCAGATGAGATAGGACTTGTGGGGGTTTGACGATTTGACTTGGGAAATCTAATGGCACATGGGTGCGGCAAGGGAAAAATAGCGACCACTAAAAGCAGGTGAGATAGGATTTGCGGAGATTTGACGATTTGACCTGGGAAATCTAATGGCACACGGGTGCGGCAAGGGAAAAATAGCGACCACTAAAAGCAGATGAGATAGGACTTGTGGGGATTTGAGCTGGGAAATCGAGCGGCGCATGGGTGCGGCAAGGGAAAAATAGCGACCAATAAAAGCAGATGAGATAGGATTTGTGGAGATTTGACGATTTGAGGTGGGAAATCTATTGCACCCGTTGTGTCTCACCGGGGAGGCGCTTGGAACTGCTCGCCCCCACAGCTTCACTGCTCAGAACGGTCTGGACGGTGAGCAGTTGCAATTGCCGCCCCGGGGAGACACAACGGAGAGACACAACGCAAAACACAACAGGAAAATGATGTAAAATGAGAAAAATTGAATAGCGACCACTAAAAGAAGATGAGATAGAACTTGTGGGGATTTGACGATTTGACTTGAGAAATCCAATGGCACATGGGTGCGGCAAGGGAAAAATAGCGACCACTAAAAGCAGATGAGATAGGACTTGTGGGGATTTGACCTGGGAAATCGAGCGGCGCATGTTGCGGAGGGAAAAATAACGACGACTAAAAGCAGATGAGATAGGACTTGTGAAGATTTGACCTCGAAAGTCTAGCTGGCACATGGGCGCAGCAAGGGAAAACTATTGATCACTAAAAGCAAGTGAGGTAGGACTTGTGGGGATTTGACGATTTGACCTCGGAAATCTAATGGCACATCGGTGCAGCAAGGGAAAAATAGTGACCACTAAAAGCAGGTGAGGTAGGACTTGTGGAGATTTGACCTGGGAAATCTAGTGGTGCATGGGTGCGGCAAGGGAAAAATAACGACAAGCAGATGAGATATCAGATAGGACTTCTGGGGATTTGACCTCGAAAGTCTAACTGGCACAGGGGTGCAGCAAGGGAAAGCTATTGACCACTAAAAGCAGATGAGATAGGACTTGTGGGGGTTTTGACGATTTGACCTGACGATTTGACCTGGGAAATCTAATGGCACATGGGTGCGGCAAGGGAAAAACCTTGACCACTAAAAGCAGGTGAGATAGGACTTGTGGGGGTTGACCCGGAAATCTAATGGCACATGGGTGTAACTAGGCAAAAAGATGGGCCACTGAACGCATGTGAGATAGGACTTGTTTTTTCTAGAACCATTGTAATTTCCTATCTCATCAGCCTTTGCTGCTGCCACAAAACATGAAGTCCCGATCATTTATCAAGGTGTTTTTTCAGACTTGCATTCAGGTCTCAGAGCGGGTTCAGCGCACATGAGTTGGGAGTTTTGGCAAATCCCAGGTACCAAAACTCCTAACTCATGTGGCTATTCTAGCCAATTCCCCATAAGCGCTTCAAACAGTAGACACAAGAGATAGGACTAGACCCCAGCAAGTCCTAACCCATCCGGGGCCACAAGTCCTAACTCATCAGTACCCAGTATAAGATAGATAAATAGATAAGATGTCAGAATATATGTCAGATAGAATGTCAGAATGCAAATCAGATAAACCGCTCGATCGTGTGTCAGATAAACTGACAGTATATATGTCAGATAGAAGATGTCAGAATGTATGTGAGAGAAAATGTCAGATAGTATATCAGAATGAATATACGTCAGACAAAATCTCAGATGAATGTCAGAATAGTCAGAATAGTGTCAGATAACATGTCAGAATATTTGCCACGGTGGGGATTACTCGAAAAAAAACAACTCAAAACTATGGGCTGAATGTTCCACGCAAGGGTGCTGCCAAACGACCATTCCGGCCAGCCATTCCGGCCAGGAACCTACTGTTGTAGACGAGGTGCGCACTGGCACTTACCGTCAGCTCTTTCATCCCGAACAGTTGATCAGTGGAAAAGAAGATGCAGCAAACAACTTTGCTCGCGGGCATTATACCATCGGCAAAGAAATTGTCGACCTGGTCTTGGACCGTATTCGAAAATTGGCAGACAACTGTACCGGACACCATGGCTTGTTTTTTTAGAGTTTTTTTGTTTGTTTTCGTTTTCAATCACAATTTGCGAAAACAAATGGTGTTGCTGTTTTCCCTTTTTTCTTTGACAATTTGTTAGCGCGTTGGTTCCGAGGATTGCAAGGATTCTGCGTCTACAATGCATGCGGGGGTGGCACTGGATCCGGTTTGGGTTGTTTGATGTTGGAACGTTTATCGGTGACTTAGACTTGCTGAAGGTGATTTTATATGTCTTTTGTTTTTCTCATTGGTAAATCCACTATTTGGGGAACCCCTATATCTATATATTTATTTTTTGAACCATCCTAAGCAACTATCAGGTGGACTATGGAAAGAAAAGCAAAATTTCCTTCACAGTGTGGTGCTGCCCACAGGTGGCAACAGCGGTTGTCGAACCGTACAACACTGCGACTCATCGATTGTTTGCATGGTTTATGTTTTGTTTTTCAATTTTTGCATTTTTGACAAGGGATCATGTCAGGGTTACTTGTGATTCTGATTACATAAAACAGTTTTTTCATTTGTGGCATTGCAACAAAGGTGTTGTGTGTGCATTCGTTGCTCGAACACACAGACGTCACCATCATGTATGACAACGAAGCGCTCTATGACATTTGCCGAAGGAACTTGGACATTGAGCGCCCAACCTACACCAATTTGAACAGGTTGATCGCCCAGATCATTTCAAGTTTGACTGCGTCCCTTCGCAACTTGGAAAGCAGTGTGTTATTTTCATTTGTTTTCCAGTTTTCATGTTTTTGGAAGGAAAACAACCTGTTTGACGCATTTTGACGAGCCAAGTCGAACAGACAGGTTTCGATGGTGCGCTCAATGTGGACATTACAGAGTTTCTTGGATTTTTAAAAAGTATTTGGAGTTTTCCTTGAAACTGAACCGGTTTTGGCAATGAGTATGTTTTGACTGCCTGCTTTCACACATCGCCGCAAGGTTCCAGACAAATTTGGTCCCGTATCCACGCATTCACTTCATGCTGACCTCGTATGCGCCAGTCATCTCAGCAGAGAAGGCGTATCATGAGCAGCTCTCAGTGGCAGAAATCACCATGTCTGTCTTTGAACCAGCTTCAATGATGGTGAAGTGTGATCCTCGCCACGGCAAATACATGGCCTGCTGCATGATGTATCGTGGAGACTTGGTTGGAGGTCTCGAATTTGTTTTTTTCTCCATACCGGTCCATAGCTTTCAACAGCATTTTTTCATATTTTTTCGGTGTGTTATGTTTCGTCCGATGAACAAATGCTGTTGGCCACTCCAACTTCCCAAATCTGCATCAAAACTCCCCCATTCGCTGGTTCTACGGCTTAGGAGATGTGGTGCCAAAGGATGTGAACGCGGCTGTTGCAACCATCAAGACCAAGCGCACCATTCAGTTCGTGGATTGGTGCCCCACTGGCTTCAAGTGTGGCATCAACTATCAGCCCCCTACTGTGACCCAGTTTGAAATGTCTTTCAGTCGACTTTTGGCATTTTTTCCCATCAAAAACCCAAGCTTTGGGAAAGATCCACTCCATGGATTCCATGGGCCATTGCGGACTTTTTCGGGGCCAATTTTTTTGAAGATCCAAGGTGGTGCCTGGAGGTGATTTGGCCAAGGTCATGCGCGCCTGCTGCATGATTTCCAACTCTACTGCCACTCAGCATGGGGAGTATTGGGGAGTTGACCCCTCTAGTCTTGTCATGATGTCATGGACCGCAATGACCACAATACATACTAACAATCATATACTAATTTATCAATGGACCTTTGGACTTTCGCGTGCTCGAGACGATGTTCATCAACCTTTTTTTATTTGCTTGTAGGCAAAACGTTTCTTAGAGTTTGAAGAAGGTCATAGTTGTGAGTGTCTCATATGGCAATTTTGATGGAACACAGTTCAGAGATTTGTGAGCGAAATGGTTTGCCCAAGTTGCAAAACTACTGTAGTACTCCAATTACATTGATAGATTTGCGAGCACTTCATCCCCTTATCCTTGCAGCTGGAAGAAAAGCCCAAGGCAATTGCAGAAGTGTTCTCTCGCATCGACCACAAGTTTGACCTCATGCATCACGTCGGAAACATGGACTGTTGGGAGCTACATTGAAGGCTGAAAAAACTGCTAAGGAATCATCTCGGGTATTTCAGGAGATATGTCCCCGGATTTGTTGGTTGGCAAAATGGGTATACTATTTGGATGATTTGGGATGATTTGGGCAAGGCTTTAGAACACCAAGGGTTTCAGGATCGTTCCCCATCCTCATGGGATTTGCCTTTCGCATTTGCTGGAACTTCATCGTATTTTGCAATCAAATCAAGCTTCGCAAATTGAACCAGGCGAATGGCAATCTCCGTAGGATGTTTGAGGTGGAGAATCATACTGTATCCGTTGCCGGTCACAAAGAATATCAAAGAATCAAGCACAGGATTGATAACCATTCCAGAGCAATGTCTCCAGATGTTTGATAGGATTGACACGTTCTATTTGTTCTATCCTAAGATGTTTGCAAATAGGTTTCGACCTTTCTCTTTGATGGGTTGAAGATTGTTAGAGGTATTCCAGAGTTCCAGTTTCAGCCATGAAATTTCATGTAAAGATATTTTCAGGTGAAAACATGTAGAGAAGACAGCGTACCTACTCTCTGGTAATGCAACATGGCCATGAAACGTGGCCCGCTTGTAGATGATTGGCCTATTTAAAAATGATGGTTATCCCCCACAACATTTGTGTGGGGTTCTTGTTTCTGGTTCTGTATCCAGTCCACCGCCTCCGTGTCCTCCTCCTCCTCCTCCGCGCCTCATCCTCTTTGTCACAACACAATCTTTCACACACACGCACAACTTTGTCACACATAATCTTGCACACACAAATTTGTCACACCTCTTTGTCACACACAAATTTATCACACATAAGCTTTCACACACACACACAAGTTTGAATCTTTCACAGCCAAATTTGTCACGCTCCTCTTTATCACACACAACTTTGTCACACACACACAAATCTTTCACACACACAATCTTTCACACACACACAACTTTGTCACACTCCTCTTTGTCACACTCCTCTTTCTCACACACAACTTTAACACACATAATCTTTCACACACACAAGTTTGAATCTTTCACACCCAAATTTGTCACACTCCTCTTTATCACACACAGCTTTGTCACACAAATCTTTCACATACACACACACAAGTCTGTCACAGTCCTCTTTGTCACACTCCTCTTTGTGACACACAACTTTATCACACATAATCTTTCACACACACAAGTTTGAATCTTTCACACCCAAATTTGTCGCACTCCTCTTTATCACACACAACTTTGTCACACGCACACACAAATCTTTCACACACACACAATCTTTCACACACACAAGTTTGTCACACTCCTCTTTGTCACACTCCTCTTGGTCACACACACACAATTTTGTCACAGACACAACTTTGTCACACTCCTCTTTGTCACAAACACGCAACTTTGTCACACACACACAAATCTTTCACACACAACTTTGTCACACAGACAAATCATGACAAATCTGGCACACACAACTTTGTCATACACAATCCTTTCTCACACAACTTTGTCACACACACGCACAAACCTTGGCGACATCTACGTTCCTTTTGCGTGGCAGGCGTGGCACTTATGGCACTGGGCTGGATCTGGTGGCGCGCTTGGTCCCCGTTGGTCGCCCGTGGCGCCGCGCTACTTTGCGTGCCGGTGCAGAATGCTGCTGCAAAGGCTGGGTTGTGTCAAGGCGCACTGCAAACCGCCTTAGACATGCCTTGAATGGAAACGGATAGGTGATGCTTCTTGCACGTTTCAGCATGTGGTTGCTGACAGTTTTGACAATTTTGATATGGAGTGGCTGTGTCGGCATTTGCCTGGGTCTGATCCACGGTTTGTGGAGGAGCCAGTGCATGTGCCGTGCAAGATGGAATGGAGGACGTCGCTATAGGCTTCCTAGACTTCGGTATAGACCGTGTAAAAGTCAAGGAGAAACAGATGTGCAAGCGGAACATAGTTGTTTTCCAAGCCTCCGAGGGGGGGCCATCACAGGAAAAGCAGGTGGTTCAAACAAACTGCTGGCAATTTTGTCCAAGTGCTTAGCAGAATACGAAAGTGAAAGAGATCCCGCTGCAAATGGTGTGGATAGTGAACAACAGTTGCTGGAGGAACTACAAAAGATGGTTCAGAGACAGCCAAAAAATTTGTTGCAAGAGCTGAAGGCACTGGTGGCGAAGTTCACTCGTGCAAAAGCTGAGAAAAGACACAGTCACTGGAATGGTGCCTCAATGCAACCCAAAAATGATTGGGTTACAGTTGTCCGTGGCAAGCCAAAAAGACCCACGAATGCAGAGAAAAGACCGGCAGTGAACCAACAGCTGCCGGGTAAGTTGAGAGCAGATGACTGGAATGCCAAGATAGCTCAAACGTCAGATGAGCTTGAGAAGCTGTTGAAAACAGAGAAAAAAGTGGTGCTCGCTCCTGTGAAGAGCGAATATGCGGCCGACATGTGGACACTTCTTAAAGCTTTCCCAGCAGCCAAAGCCACACTTGTGTTGCCAGAGTCCTTTCCGGTGCATGAGCTGCCCACTAGTTTAAATTCAACAAGTTGCATTGCGAGAGTGCCTATGCTGGTGCGAGGAGCTATTGTGCAACCGAAAGTTTGTTTGCTGACAAAAGGAGGTGCGGATGCGCCGCAATTTGACCGGAAAGAAGTGTCAATCAAAAGTGATGCGAAAAAAGTTGAGACGGTATTTTTGCGAGCAGCCACCCGCAGAGATTTGGTTGCCAATTTTGAAAGACTACAGCGAAATCCCGGACAATCTGTTCGCTCCTGGATTTAATGGTCAAAGAGTTGTCCCTTGACTCAAGTTGGGGACACTTGGGGATGGAACTTGTCAGGTCAAATCGTTTCTGGTGTAATGAGAGTTGACCTGAGAGCAGTCCCTGCGCTACTGCGAGCTAGTGGCCAACGCCATCAGTTGCATCGTTGGTATTTTGAGCCACTGCATTTTGATGCTTCTTTGTCCAAGCCATTTGACAAACTCCCTGAGACACACTGGGTACAGGATGTGAGGTTGACTATGGAACAGAAAGCAGCCAAAGCTGAAAAACAAGCAGTTTTGTCTGACCTGGGTGTTAGACTTGGCACCTGAAATGTAGGTGTACGGCAGATTCCTTCTTCAACTTTATGGGGGTGGAAGACATTGAAAACGGGTTCACTTCTGCGGGTTTTTCTGATTTTGAACCTTTGGAAAAATTCCGTTGGAGACAATACACTGGATATATCTGGATATACTTTCAAAGCTTTGCGGTCTGACGACAAAGATGTTTTGACTGTCAAATATGGTGAGACTCCCATTGAAGTCTGTATTCAAGGGCGACGACAGCAGCAGCATCGAGTGACTATGCCTTTGCCAGGTGAACGACGTGTTCATTTTGGTCGCAACATGGTTTTCCTGTTATTATGATGGGTGACTGGAACGAACCTCCTCCTTCGAAGAGCGATGATTTTCTTCTCTGGTATGTGCAAGAGGAGAGTCAACCTGTAGCGAGCAGATGGGATGGGGATAGGTGTGTTGACTATCTCCAGACGACACGGTCAGTGGAATGCCTCAACCTGACCTACCGAGATGAGAGTTTTTCTGACCACAAAATTTTGCAGGGTACTTTTACGGCTGCTTGCAATGTGGATCCAGCAATGCGAATGATAGGGACAAGGTCGTTTTTGCCTGGCAATGTGAGTCTTAACGACTGGACAACAACTCTTGAAAAAGCGTGGGAACATGTGCGGGTGCCCCGCGAGAGCAATACTGAACAGGAATGGTTGGAGTTCAATCAAATGGCAGAAGCAGCAGCTATGCGTGTGTTGGAAAGTTTGAATGTGCAAAAGGGGCGGCCACCTTGCATCCGTCCAAAGGGCAGCCTTCCTGTCTTCGCTGTTCCATCCACTGACGTGGATTTCAAAAGCAACTGCAAAATCTTTCGTTGGCGTAAACTTGCCAAACTGCTTGGTCGCACCAGGGACTATCAACAACGCCAACTTTCTGTTGGTCGAAGTCCTCAACACTTGTTGCAGAACATCAAGCGCACGTGGCCGAATAGCCTTGCCTTTTGAGCTGATTGGACAATCAATGGGCAAAGAGTGGAAGATGAAATGCAGGCCGTTGCTGAATTTGCCAAGCAGCAGCGGTTAGACACTTGGAAGAGGAACATGCTGAAAGGTGGCCGTGAGGCCACAAAATGGTTGAACAATCATGCCAATGTTGTTTCGCCTTCTCTCTTGTATGACAGTGGTGGGCGGCGCGTGTCTACATATGGTCCGAACGATAGCCTTGAGCAACTCAAAGGTTTCTGGGACTCTATTTGGTATCGATACAGCAATGTCGCTCTGGACTTCGCTTTGCAGTAGTGGCAGCGGGAGGGGCGCCGATCCCAGTTAGATTCCTTCAACATCAATGCTCAAGATTTGTGGATGAGCGCGCGCAAATCTTCTGGTCTCAAGCGCGGGACCGGACGGTTGGACTGGAAACGAAGTAGCCGCCTGGCCGCTTCGTGCTTGGCAGGTGTATGCCAAGTTGCTGGCCCGTTGGCAGGCACGTCGACAATGGCCTGAAGCATGGAAACATGTGAGGCAGGTTCACCTGCCAAAAGAAATGTCTGCTGAAGATGGTGGTGCAGTACACTTCTCGAACATGCGCCCAATTTGTGTGCAATCTATCCTTTGGAGGGTGGTTGCTTCAAGTATCACACGTCATGCCAACGTCACTCGATGGTTGCAGCAAGTCCTACCACCTGAAGCTCACGGTGGTATTCCTGGCCGTGGCATTGACACAGCGGTCTCTTCTTTGGAAGAGGCATTCCAAAAGAGAAGTTCCATTTTGGTGACTATGGACTACAGTAAGTGCTTTGACATGGTGGCTCCTCGTCTGGCTTTAAAGACTTGGGAAGCGGCTGGTTTCCCTGATGTTTGGTTTGCCATGTTGAGCCATGTGTGGCTGGATCAACACCGGTGGCTTCAGTTGGGTCAAAACTTTTTGCCCCAAGCGCTTCAATTGTCTCAGAAAGTCTCTCCCAGGGTGACGCCTTCTCGCCTTTGACTCTGAATGTCTTGCTGTCCTCTCCAGTACGGGATGTGGCTATGCAGGAACAACATACAAACTTTGCCCAAGCTGTTTCTCTTGATGACAGGACCTATGTGGCAGTCAATCCGTCGCAGGCGCGCCGCGTCTTTTTGACCTGGGAGTGGTGGAGCAAGGTCTTGGGCCTTCGTGAGAACATGTCCAAGCTGAAGATCATTCCACGTCAAAAGGCTCAACATGCTGAACTTCTGCAGGTAGGTTTTCCTCTACAAACACTGACCTCACAAGCAAGGGTGTTGGGCATCGATTTTTGTGATCGTTTGAATATGGCTTCTCGTTCTACGGCAAACAAGCGTGTTCAGGCTGCTGAGCTTCAAGCACGGAGACTCTGCAAAACCAAAGCGGTGCCTCTTCAGGCCAAGAAAAAGTTGTGGCGGACTCGCATTGTCCCCAAGGCAGCATGGGGATGTTTCTTTCACACGCCAAAGATGACTTCCCTGCAGGCAGCTTATCGCAAGTTCATGTATGTGCACACGCTGGGCTCACCTGATTTGAGATGTATTTTGGATGGGCCCACTTCTGACCTTCATTTCATGGCTGGCTCTCTGGTTGCAAACGCATTGCGCAAAATGGCCATCTCGGGCCGTGTCCCCTGGTATGAGCGGCCAAAATGCGGTACATGGTTGCACACTGTTCAAAGGTGGCTTTCAAAGTTTGGGTGGTGGATCGCTGGACCTTGGAAATGGTGTCATGATGCTTGTCGGCTCTCTATGGACTGGATGGAACTCCTCGATATGCCCAACCAGGAGCGCTTCAAGTTTTTGCTGGATAAATTTGACCATGGTATTCGTGAAACATGGAGGTTTACGCATTTTTCTGCTTGGTTGAAGAGTAAACGTCGAGATGCGACTGCACTCAGAGGATTTGTTTTTTACGATGAAGAGCGTTTCAAGTTAGCGAGACAGATGTTTGAGTCACAAAATGGTCATGGCAAGGCTGTCATGGTAGGTGCTGCTTGCAGCACGGCAAGGTATCAAAGCCTGCGGCTTGGTGCAGTGGACAACTTTTGTCCTTGGTGTCAGGAACCTAGTGTCCCAGCCTGGGACCACTTATGCTGGCAGTGAGACCTGCAATTCCGCAGGACTGGATGCAGAGACGTTTAGGATGGCCATCCCTGCAGAGTGGTCACCAGTTCAATGCTGAGGTGCTTGCGCACATGTCCAGTGTGCGGAGCAAGGTTTTGGAGAAGATGTGAGTTGTGGCCGTGTGCCACTTGGCGCTGCCATCCCTGAGGTGCAACGTCAGCGATCAAATTATATATGCGCTACTTTGCGTGGCAGGCGTGGCACTTGACAACATTGACCTTCCCTTTGCGGATCAGGCGTGGCACTTGGCGACACCTTCCTTTTGCCTGGCAGGCGTGGCACTTATGCAATGGGCTGGATCTGGTGGCGCTCTTGGTCCCCATTGGCCGCCTGTGACATTTCTGTCCGTTTGATGTCTTGCTGCGTGCTCCTGTACAAAGCAGCGCGACAAATTGTCGCCTGTCACCTCGTTGGCCGGTTGTGCGGGGCTAATGCGCCTTGCTGGTCACAAGAAGGCACTGGCCGGTCAGTTTGCATCGTTGTGATTGCCGAACGTCCCGCCCTGCTCTCAACCGCGTCGCTTGGGAGGCCGACTTTGGCCCAACGTGGGAAGTAAGAAGCACGCTGGCTTTCTCACATCAAACTTTATCACACGCAACTCTTCCACGCACAACTCTTTCACACGCATCTTCCTCACGCACGCCTCTTTCACGCACAACTCTTTCACACTTATACACAACCCTTTCACTTTCACGTACAACTTTTTGAAATTATCGATCCTCACAGTCTTTCCTCCCTTCTCCGTACCGCTTCAACCACTGTTTCTGATTATAGGAAGAAGTTGACTTGTGGGGTTATCCGGTCCTTTAATCATGCAAATGGGATGTGAGGTGCAGTGTCAGCCATCAAATTTGATGATCAAATCATATCAAATCGGAGGTATTCCCTGATCTTCGAGGTCCACTGTCAGAGATCAAATAGTTATACCGCGGAGGTCAAATTCATATAACGCGGAGGTATTCCAAGCGCGCCTTCGTCCATCATTATGTGGGCGAGGGCATGGAAGAGGGCGAGTTCTCCGAAGCTCGGGAGGACTTGGCCGCGCTGGAGACGCTTGGTGTGGGCGAGGTGTCGCCACGACCGAGCTGTGTATATGATGGATAGACATAAATAGATATGAAATGATATGGCTAGTGATGGTGCCCCCTAAAGCTAAAGGATGTGGCAACAACTACTAATGATCCATCACCGGTTATTAATTGTATATACTGTACACCAGATTATATCCATTCCATCAAGTCTTGAAAACATAGGTCTTGCATGCTCTTGTTTAAGAGTTTGTGTTTCCAAATCATTCCGTGCAAGGAAAGATTACGAGGAGGTTGGCATCGAAACTGCCGAGGCAGCGCGGAGTTGATTTGTTTAAGTGCCCATTTGAGGGTTTCCATAAATGGAGGATACCCCCAAATGGATGGTCAAAAATGGAAACTCCCATTAAAATTGATGATTTGGGGGTACCACCATTTTAGGGGACACCTCCATTTGTAGGAAACTAGGAAACAAATTGAATGATTTTGTGGCATCAACCGGTGCCGTGTGGTCAGATAAAGTGAAAATTCCGTTTTGCCAAATTTATTTCTTGGCCAAACATGCTGAGGGCGAAGGCGAGGAAGAAGGATATGGACACCTGGTTTGCTTAATTTTTTCTGTTTTTGGATAGCGATTGTTGATTGTTCCACTGTAGTAGTATTTTATAGATATATCCTATAGCGATTCTATATAATATATATTATATATATATAGTCATCCTGGAGTAAATAGAATATCGGACATTTTCAATCTTGATTTTCAAAATAAAAATAGTTGGAATATTTTCAAAACCCCCAATTTTTACACGTTTTTCGTCCCTGTTAAAGTCATGTTTATATAGCCAATTTTGGACACTGGTCAGGAGAAATATTGAAAACACACAAAAATCAAAAACACAAAAAATAGATAGAATAAGAAAAATAAATAGAATGTTGTTTCAAACCAGGTAGATAAAATATTTTCAGGGAATTGTGAACACAGACCCCACAGCAGCTTGAGACTGTTTTTCCACAGGATATGCATTCTGTGAATGGGCCACTTTGAACAAACATATTCTATCTACCCCTCCAAACCATATTCCAAGTACCAGTTTTCGACTTCCCCGGGAGGGAATCGAAATATTACAACTAATTTTTAGGTGGCCAACATCCAACATAATTCCAACATAAATCCCGCACCCTCCAAAAAAAAACATTCTATCTACTTTAGGATCACTGTGTATCTATGTATATATATATACAGTATATATATATATGTACACACATACCTGGGTTAACTTTCGATGTCTTTTTTTGGTCTCGCCTAAAAACACGACGCGCGCCCTAAAAACATGACGCAGATCACAATCAGAGACCAAAAACACAACACCACAACTCAAAAAACAACACAAACACGAAAAAATGACGCCAAACCTTTGTCACAGGATTTCCGCCCCAAAAAGTCTTTCAGTGGACCTAGGTATATACTATCTATCATTCTATGATATGATATGTATGACTCACTTTATTTTATAATATCATTTTCTATTTCGAAACTACAGCAATATGTTTTTGTATACACTATATTATATATATACAATATATATATATACACATACATATCACATATTTATATAATATATTTATATACACAGACGTACGTATATATATATATATAATTACATACATATATACAATATATATAATATAAAATATATATAATATATATAATTACATACATATATATAATATATATAATATAAAATATATATAATATATATAATATATAATATATATAATATATATAATATATATAATATATATATATATAATATAATATATATATATATAATATATATAATATATATAATATATATATATAATATATAATATATTATATATATATTATATATATAATATATATAATATATATAATATATATAATATATATAATATATATAATATATATAATATATATAATATATATAATATATAATATATATAACATAAATAATATAAATAATATATATAATATATATAATATATATAATATATGTAATATATATAATGTATATAATATATATAATATATATAATATATATAATATATATATATATATATATATATATATATATATATATAATATATATATAATATAATATATATCTAATTATATACATATATATAACTATATATATATAATTGTAATATATACATATATATACATATAGATGTATATGTATACACAACACATTCTATTTGTTTGTGGCCTTGCATCAAATCCAAGGAGATGAGTTCTAAGTTTCACCAGTGGGTGACCGACATCCAGATGTCCCGCGCAACCGGACTCAGCGCACTCAGCGTTGAGGTGTTGCAAAAAAAAGATGCGCCGCGAATCGAGCGCAGCGCTGATTCACATGGTTTTTGTATATCATGTGGGTATGGATCAATACCTATTAATACCATTTTTAGGGGATGAACATCCATTTACCAGCTATTTTGATGTTCACCAGGGGTACAAGGTTTTGACACACTGCCATGTGATACAATGATAACAATCAGCAGCAGGTAAACAAAAGTCACCAATTTACAGATAACAGGTTGGTATATATGAGTGACACAATTATTGTAATACGAATTTAGTTTCGCTTCGCCTTGGCCGTTCGAAGTTTGCACAAAACCTTCATAACCGATAGGGGATGACCATTTTTTTTCCATAGAAACATGGCATGAAATTTATGAAGTAATTTTGTCCGCTAGTCATATAATGAATACATATACACATTGTAGATGCCCCGGCACTGAGCCAGTTTTCACCTACTCTTTGTCTTTCTTTGGGATTCAAGAGTTATATGCCATCAGTCCAAACATTCGTTGGACGCTTTAATTCCCACTGTTTCTACATTTGGGTTTGTCTGAACATCGATTACCCCCCCCATCATGGTTAACAACTATTTTCCCCATTAAAAGAGCTTGGTATTTCATTTCTGATATTTCTGGCCAATAGCATTTTTAGTTTTAGCCGCTGATGCATGCAGCTTGAAGATTTTGAGAATCATGCGAGTTTTGATCACGCTGATCAGTTCTTGTCAGCTCTCATGGTTTCTTCGGAGCTGTGTGTGATGCTAAGACATGCCAAGACCCCAAGAACGAACGAATCAGAGAGAGTCAGTGCAACCACTTGCGCCACGTGGTTTTTGCAGTATGCAGACTCGCCAGGACCTTATTCCTACCCCATCCAGCCCCGTGCCGTGCCGAGGTCAAGATCTTTTCAGATTATCCTTTGCAGGGTAGCGTCAGCATTCGATCCACCAAGCGTGCCCATGGTTGTGGTGGACGATTTGGGAACCCCAAGATGGGTGCATACAATCATATATACATGTATCTCATATTGTATTTACATGTTATACAATACATATAGTTATATCATGTCAATAATTATATAGGTATATATGGGTGCAAGTCAAAATAGGAGGTCCGGAACAAGCTCCGGGACCACACCCGTTCCATACCCCCGTTCCATACCCCCGTTCCATACCTCCTTGAAGGATCCGTTCCATACCTCTGTTCCATACCTCTGATCCATACGTTATGATATATATGTATGTATTTATATATATACACACCTGAATATGTGCAGTCTGATTTTACATTTGTACGCGCGTACTTGAGCGCACATACATACATGAGTGTGTACATGCAAGAATAGGTTTACTATGCCCAAGCCCTGTGATTGTGTTGGCAAGTCTGTGCCTGCAGCGTTTGTTGTGTGATGGTAGGGATGTGCTTGGCTGTTGTCAGCTGGCAGTCTAAGAATGGATTGCTTGTAACCTCTCAACCTGCGGCAGGTTTGCGCCTGCACCACTTACAGTTGCTGCCCGCTGTGGCACAGCTGTGATGTTTGATGATAGAGATGCGCTTGGCTGTTGCCAGCTGGCAGTCTAAGAATTGCTTGCTGCGCTACTCTCGCTCCACACTGCCAATTTTGATAAAGATGCGCTTCGTGGTGACAGAGCTGTGCTGGAGTGGGCCGTTTCGTTCCAGACCCCGTTCCATACCGTTCCATACCCGTTCCAGACCCGGACCACCCATGTACCATCCATGACCCACTTCCGCGTGAACAAACGGCAGGTTCTGACATAGACTGCTCCTAAGCCATCCTTTGTGCGTGGGTTTTGGGAGCCTAGAGTCTTGCTACGCGGGGACACAATCTACCCCATAGGGAGTGGGAATTGTGAGTTTTAAGAGTAGGAGGCGGGACCTGCGTGACAGGTCTGAAGCTGAGCGGACAGCTTCACATAGTAGCCACTGGTTGAGGCTGGCTACCAGTTATGTCCTAGCTAGTGCACGAGCACTAGCCATGCAAGGCAAACCTGCGTTGAACAGGTGTACAACAAGGATGCCGCGCAGATGAGAAGTAAAAATGAGCGGCAGCCAGCGGTAGTAGCTTCAACGCGCATATCCTTGAGATGTAGTTATATATACATATATTACACATATATACAGTATACATATATTTATATTTATGCACAGCTTATATTTCATCACATTCCAAAGGTCCGGAACAAGACCAGTTACGAAACCCCTTCGTTCCATACGTCCGGAACAGCGCGGAACGTTCCATACACAATTTTGACTCATAGCCATATATATATATATTTGATCTACATTATATATATATACATACATGTAATATATGATATATATATATATATGATAGATTGTATATGTAATATATATATATTATTTTCCAAGGTGTAATATATATATAATCGGTAATAGGAATAATACATAAGAGTGCATATACACTGTTTTTAAGCAGAATGCACCTAGATATAATTAGAATGTAAGTATTTTGTAATGTGTATCGAAGATAATTTGATAGGTTTTAACATATCTCTATACATACATATGATATGTACATGTGTATACGCACATAAATCATACACACCACCAGATACCATCGGTGCTTTAGCAGGATGGTTGTGTATCGTGTCAGGTATTTTCCATCCCAGCGTCGATGCGCAGACAGGAGCTGTAGCGCTTGGTACAGGCCAGCAGTCGCTGTGATTGGCGTGGTTGGCGTCCAATTCGTTTTTAGAAAACAAATGAAAACAATAAGTGCTGCAATTTCGACAATTTCCACTTTTATTTGAACACTTTAAATTTTTTAAATGACATGTTGACATTTGATCTAATGACATGTGAGGAGTTAAATTTTGAATACCTTTTGAGGCCTACTTCAGACACCAGCTCTCCATCACCAGAGCTGAGGTGAAGAATGTGGTGCCAAGGTGAACCTGGGTTCGATGCTGACGGCACTTGCCCAGATGGTGCGTCCCTTGGGAAGATGACAGAGAAGTTTCCAGGATTTTCCCCCCTCCTGGGGGATGAACTTCCATAAAATCCAGGATGAAAGTCCCACAATGCTGTACTTATAACAGCAATAGACTGAGGCAGTCTTCCCGTTGAAAGGCCATTGAGCAGAAAGTAACCGCAACAGCTCAGATTCATAGTCATGACCCTGTTTCATTTGCAACAGCAATTCGATACTGCAGTTACACAGGAAGGTGACGCTGCAACAGGGCTACAATACCTGAGGTGAAAGTCCCACAGCCAGCTGCAGAGCCCCTGAACAGCGAGGCATCCTCTCTGCTTCTTGGACTGCATTGTGAATTTGTTTGTGATCGGAAACCACGTTTTGGAGATTCTGCAATCCATGACTTACTGAGCTCGATCATTTTCTAGGAAAAAGATGAGACAGAAATGCAATTCCTTGGTAAATCAACATATAAATCAACATACTTCAACAAAAATCCCAGGATCCTTGGCATATCTTGGCATAATCCAGCCACACCATGCCACACCATGCCACACCATGCCGCACTGGCTGAGGCTGTCAGACGACCCGGCGGAGTTTCGCCGGGCAGTGCGGCTGGCGCTCTCAGGGGGCGAGGTACTGAACGTCGGCTACGACCGGGTTTTGAATCTCAAGGCCCGGCTGAATACAATATTAGGTGGTTTAATGGTGGTTTATAATGGACAATCCTATTAACATAGATTTGGGGGTACCCCCATGACTTAGGAAACCCCCATATATATGCTGTAACTGAAAAAGAGGGGGAAGGGACCGAAGGGAGTAGAAATGATTAGAAGATATAAGAAGCGGGAGCTAATAACACCAACAATTCTGGAGTATCATCAATACTTATCTCTACACTTTCTCTATAGACAAAATGGCTCTGTTTGGAAATGGGGCATGTAGCTCCAAAATCCACCGGTTAAGCCATGCTATCCTCAATTTCGGACAAGCCCATAAGTGTTGCTCTGGAAAAATGACATATAAAGCAAAGAGACAAACAGGAAAGATCGAAAACGGTTGCGCCTGGCGCAAGGATCTGAAACGTTCAGAAGGATTGGGAAATTGCTATGTATAATACCAACACTAGTTAGGTGGAGATCTCGACTTCAGGTAGTTGAGGTCAAGGGGTGTTGACACCTGTGTCCTGCTGCAGCTGAGCCGGCGTCGCAGCAACCTCGAACAATCTTCATCTGAGTGTCACGCTGTAATTGAAGCCGCAACAACCATTTAATAGTAGCATTAGACTATATACTTCTGCAGATGCTCCATACCCCAAACAGTCTTTATCTTCAGCCATATATATAAATATAAATAAATATAAATACCAGATATACCCCAATGACATACAGTACCCAATATTGATATCCAAATACCACACAGGTGACACTACAGATCTCTACCCTTGAAGCGTTGCAAAAATACCGGATGGGCTCCCAACAGCATGGCTCAACCGAAGACGCGCTTGTGGCGCCAAAGACTGCGCTGCCTGGCCATTGCGCATTGGCCAAATAGAATCCAGACAGTGTTGGACCAGAACTCTCCGGGGTGTCACCAAGAAAATGCGGTATAACATGTAATTATATATATATATATAGACGGACATTAATATGAGAAATAAGGGACCTAATAAGGGATATGGAACTAATTATTGGGGGTATATAACCATATATACCGACAGAAGGGGAGAACATCAAGCATTTGATGGGGATATTTATTGGATACCCTCTGGTAATTTAACGTAGCTATGGAAAATCACCATTTTTAATAGGTAAACCATCTATAAATGGGCCATTTTCAATAGCTATGTTAAATTACCAGAGGGTAGGTTTCACCAACAATATTGTAAGTTTGGTTTGTCCAAAAATGTGGGATACCACCCAACATTGCAATGTTCATGGGAAAACTGATTTTCTCAACCACCGAAGACCCACCAAAAAAAATAACAGCTTACCCATGTCCCTGCAAATATTGTTATTTTCAACAGGAACTATCCAAACATGCATCTACCTGGCATCTCTCTCTCTCTCTCTCTACCCTACCCTACCCTACCCTACCCTACCCTACCCTACCCTACCCCACCCCATCCCATCCCATCCCATCCCATCCCAACCAATCCCATCCCATCCCATCCCATCCCATCCCATCCCATCCCATCCCATCCCATCTATCTATCTATCTATCTGTACAAATGCACAATCATCCATAGGTTTTCGAACCAAGTGGGACATACTTCCAATGGCGATGGGTACATCTCCGGACAAAATGGGTTTGGAGCCTACAACAGGGAAGGAAATAACAAGTAGATACGTTTGGAGATAATTTCTACCAACACCAATAAAACTGGGCCTCAACTGTAGGAATTCCGAGGGGAACCCGCATTTTGCTGGGGCGGAAGACATTTGACCTTCTCCAGAGTGAGAGAAGCCGTGATTTGTTGATGCAATGGCAGCATTTGTATGGCGGTGACAAACCCCCTTACCAACCGTCGACCCATTCTCTGTCTCTCTCTCTCTCTCGTTATGTTTTTTTGAATGATAATGACTGCTTAGAGCTAGGCACTGCACGTGCTGAATGCCCACCCTTGCAATCATTGCAAGCATAAGGTCTTCATCTTCCACTTCTTCATTTGCGGGGCGCCCAAAGTTGTCGCCGTTGTGCCGCACGGCATCCCGGACGCAGCATCTCGTTGGGTGGCTCTGGCGATCCCCGTCGGATTGAGCGTCTATGCCGTCTACGCCGCGTGTCCGGAAACTTTCTTTGTTTTAGTGGTGTACTTCATTGCGCACACAGGCACGGGATGATGGGAACATATGGGAACATCTTATATGAATTTATATGATATATGATGGGATTGACGGGATGGTGGGGGTTGGAATACGGACATCATTTTTGTGGCTAGTTGGCCTGAACCCCAACCCCAGGTGTTTCTCCCACGTTCATGAAGAGCCTCCCAGAAGAAACCATCAATTTCAGAGTATTACCTACGCTGCAGAGATGAAATGACTGCCTGGGACCACTTGCACCGAACCCTGCAGCTGCAGTTTAGTGTTGACCATTGGAGGCATGAACTTTTACATGAAATATGTCTTGTCGCAGTTCAAAGTGGATGAGGAGCTCAAGGGCATGCCTATGGCATTTCTTTTGACTTCGATCCAGCAGTTTGTCGCTTTCCTGGCTTTCGCTGTCTTCTTGCTCTTTGGCCACATTGCTGGTGGAGATTATGCAGTGAAGAGACTGAGCCTCATCGTCCAATTTTGAACGAAGTTGTTTGGCTTTGCGCCACATTGCTTTATGTAGTCATGGTCCATCATGGTCCTTAACCAACTTTCCCATTTAGAGCCTTGCTGTCTGCAAATACGCCCCCCCCCCGGTGCACAACAAACACATAAGCCGATTTGGAGCTGCGATCAGGAGGACTTGGGAGGAGAGAGGGACGCTGGTCTTCTTCAGTCTGGCTTTTGCAGGGAACATTGGTCTTAACAACTTCAGCCTTTCCTTGCTGCCCATGTCAGTGAATCTCATCCTGCGTTCCTGTTTGCCATTAGCCACCGAGCCTTGGATCATCGATCGGGTGTAGACTGTGTAGACGACAGACATTCGATATTTTTCGAACAGAACTGGGGTTCCCCAAGGAATCCGGTAAATTCGATCGGATCGTTTATCATGGTTTATCATGGTTTATCATCATTTTTCCCATTATAGTGGCATATAGTGACCAAAAAAAACTTGGGGTATACTCGATTGTTAGACAACCCCAAAGAGCCGTTGAATGTAAATCAGTGGAGTTCAACATAGTTATTCGGCAGGATGTGAACATGAACCCCTGAATGGCCAACTACCAGTAGCTTCATTGCAGCGACCAAGGCGCTTGTTGAGACTGCGGTGCAGGGCCGCCTTTCGCAACGCATCGCACCTGCGCAGCCTCTCGGAGTGTGACGGAGATTTCTACGAAGTTCTCTGAGATGTTGCATGGGGAAGAGAAGCGTCAAGAAAATGCTGTGTAGAGAACTGTTTTAAAGTTTCAGGGCCAGATGATGAATTTTTTCCCGGGAGGATGAATGTGGGTGGGTATCCCTGAATGTGGGTAGCCCATTTGGATAGAACAGCTGCTTTCAAAGAGCCGTCCTGGATTCCTCAGGTGGATCTTGCTGCTGTTGGGAGTGATCTGCACAGCCGTAGCCAGCTACTGCAAGACACCAAGCGCTGCACAGGAAGCCGAAGCAGCGGTCTTCTCTTTAGGCTCGGAATATTGAATTGATATGAATTGATGACACACTGTGCCCACTTGTTTCTTGATGTTTCTTGCATCAGTTCGAGGTCTAGAAAGTCACAAGATGTCACAAGGGAGGATGTGCGGAGATTTGCGGCAACAAAAATCACATTGGAGTCATTGGAGTGCGGATATCAGCAGCAGGTCTTTCAGACACAGGTGTGGAGGCTGTCATTAGGTCTGGCTCTAAGGAGAGAACGCTCTGCGGGCAGTGGCACATTCAGTAAATCGGTAAATTTTGCCTCTGCTCCGTTCACGAGGTAGAACGGTAAATTGGTACTTGGGCCTCGTAGCATCAAAATACGAATTTACTAACTTATCGTTTTACGGCTTTACGTCCCTTTCCTGAAGCTTCAAGGCGAACTGTGCTAAGAACATGAATTTACCAATTTACGGTTTTACTTTGGTTCGGTTCCAGGCCGCTTTTACGGTTTTACGGCTTGCATCTGCTTGGTGTCACGCTAAACCTGGTAAATCGGTAGCTCTGGCAAGTGGACGTGTAACGGTACGAGGCTGTCAGGACTTGCGCACGCTATGGCTGTCACGTTGACCATGGGGTTGGGTGGGGTGGCAGTAATGGTAAAAAAGGTGTCGAAATGTGTCGAAGACACCGCAGGGTTTATTTATGATTTCTTAGGATTTACTTAGGGTTCATTTAGGGTTGATTGAGGGTTGTTTCCGGTTGATTTAATTAAGGTCTGTTTCGGGTTTGTTTAGGGCTTAGTTGCGGTTTCTTTAGTTTTTTTTGGTGGTTTGCTCGGAGTCTATTTAGGGTTGGCTTACGGCCTGCCTAGGGGTGGTTTAGGGTCTATTTAGGGTTGGTTTAGGGTTGATCTAGGGTTGGTTTAGGGTTTATATAGGGTTTGTTTCGGGTTTCTTTAGGGTTTGTTGAGGGTGGATTGAGGGCTTATTGAGGGCTTGCTTCAGGTTGATTCAAGGTGTGTTTCGGGTTCGCTTGGGGTTTAGCTATTGTGGTTGTGGTTTGTCTAGGGTTCTTTAGGATTTACTTAGTGTTTACTTAAGGTTGGCTTAGGGTCTGTTTAGGGTCTGCTTACGGTTGGTTTAGGGTTTAACTATTTAATCATTTCGGGTTTGCTTCGGGTTTCTTTAGGGCTTGTTGAAGGCAGATTGATTGTTTATTGGGAGTTTGTTTTGGGTTGTTTTAAAGTTTGTTTGGGGTTCATTTGTGGCTTGTTGAGGTTTCTTTGAAACATATATTCTGTAGGGTTTACTTAGTGTTTGCTTAGGGTTGGTTTAGGGTCTGCTGCTTGGATTTATTTAGGGTTGATTTTAGGGTCCATTTATATCCATTTATATAAGGTTGGTTTAGGTTAGCTTAGGGTTGATTTAGGGTTGGCGGGTTTCTTAGGGTTTTGAAGGCGGATTGAGGGTTAATTGCGGGTTTGCTTCCGGTTGATTTAGAGTTGGTTTCGGGTTTCTTTGGGTTCTAGTTGTGGTTTGTTGAAGGTTATTTGGGGATTGCTTAACGTTTAATTATTCCGGTTGGTTTAGGGCCTGCCTAGGGTCCATTTAGGGTTTGGTTAGGGTCTATTTAGGGTTGGTTTAAGGGGCTGATTTAGGGCTGATTTAGGGAGTACTTAGGATTTAATGAGGCTTTATTGAATAAGTGAGGTCCCCAAATTCAGAAGACAGTATAGAGCTGCCACTTGCCGAAGGCCTTTGTGCTGCAATTGGCAGCCTCTTCTTCGGCGCGCTGCAAATTGCATTTGCATAGCGTCATTTTCGGCATTTTTGTTTACTGTATATAGATGTTTTTAAACAAAAAATTCTCATATTTGCTACTTTGAACATGATGTACTGCCATCGTTTTTCGTTGCCTTGTTTCTTTTTGTATTGTATACAGTTTTGTATTCACAACTTGCGCCTTACCACCGCCAAAATTGAAACAAAAGAGAACCATAGTGTCAGTGTAGTTCTGTCCTGCCAGCAAAGGAATATGGTGCTAGCTGGTGTTCTGGGCGATCTAGAGTTGAACCCTGTGGATAGCACTGGCTACATGGCAACACAGCTCAAGGGCTGGAGGGGGAGAGGAGTAGGGACCCTGAAGAAGTTTGCAGGGTTGCCCTATCAAGATCTATCAAGTAAGGTTACCTCAAATGGCAATGCAGTTGGG